ATAGGACTGAGTTTAAGAAATTCAGGCTTACAATATCACCGATATTCTTAATACTTCCTAAAATTCTCATGGAAGCTTAATGTATGAGAAAAACCTTTTAAAAATATTCATAAAGAGGTATGAGAGGACTTAAGAGGTGTAGGATAAGAGAGGAATGGATCCCAGTGTCGAGTGTTTTAATTTTATTCCACTTCTCCATCGGTCAAAACCAATCTGGAATAGAGTGTTTTATCTCAATTTTATTATTCTTATTACCCCTCATGGTAGAAATATTTTAGAAAAAGAAGAACAGGAAGAAGGAAAAATCATTCCTATTATTTATTTTTCTCTTCCTTAAGCTGAGGTGTTTTAAAGTCTTTGATTCTTCCACCATGTTTAGAGCTCATGCTGTTCTATTTAGATGTTCAGTTTACTATAATTACTAATAATGGATAGCCAAAATAACAATCTATTTTTTCAGTGATTTTTTAATGGTAAATCAGTCTTTATTTTTATCTTCCTTAGACTTTTCCATTTTTACTTACTTTCATATCCTTTAACTAAAGAGTTGGAGATTAATTCCAAAAGGGGTTAAGCACGCTAAAATAAACAGTCTACATACTCAAACTGGAATGTTATTGTAGCAGGCTAAATTAATCCATTTTTATGTATTTCCCATTTTCTGGGTTACCATGTAATGATTAGGGAACTTAAGTTTTACTAATAAAAATATATTTAGAAAATTTCTGATGAATTAGCTCTCTGGATATATAACCAACAGGTGTGGGTCCAGGAGTGTTGCTCCTTTCTTGAGCTCAGTAATTATTTAATGGGGTAATTCCTTTACGTGAAAAGTTTCTTGCATTTTCTAATTCATAATCACTGCCAGTTATTTGCTTACATTTTCTATAGACATTTATATTGCATATCTCAGGGGTACTGGGTAGAGTTTTTGTAATATTTTTTAAGGTTTCAAGAGATCACTAGAGTGAGTCAGATTTTCTCAACAACTTCTGACAAGCATCAAATTCATTTAGACTGAGGAGTTAGTCACCTTGAAAATTTCAGTTCATCTTAATCTATGGCCAACTACACCCCCAATTTCACTCAATTTATCCTCTTCAAGCAGGGCTGAGGAGGTTTAACATTTTAAAATATCTATCGGTGCCTAGATATATTTTTGTTTGTCTTGTGTCAGTTTGGGTCTGTTAGCAGTATTTAATTGGATTTGCTGAACTTTTCACTTTTGCCAGTTCTTTTAGTGGCATTTTACAGATGCAGGATTTATGTGACTTCAGATTATTTGAATGTTAACTACAAACCCAAGAAACCCTGTATTTCAAAGTTAACTAAAGATTTCAGACTCCTCCATTTTTCTAAAATTGAAAGACTTTAAATTAGAAAAGTTTTATACTTTAGTCATATTGTAAATTATGAGAAGTTTTCTTACTTTGCAGCATGCAATCTCTAATATTAAAGAAATGATTAAAAATCAAGAGTTTTGTAAAATTGTTTTAGTAACATTAACAAATAATTATGCCAGTATATAGAGACAAATGGACATTGTAAGGAGTTATGAATGGTTCTGGATGACTGAAGCTCCTTGAAACTTCTGAAAATATAGGGCTCACATGGATAATATAACTACATTATTTGTTGCACAAATTTAGGAATACTAGAACTTTTTTCTTATTTCTTCAACCTCAAGGGCATTTACTTAGGATGAATACATGAATGTTATGTGTCATGCCATACAACTTTTGCAGGTAATATTATGGAGGGAAAACATGTCTTCACACATAATATCCCTTGGTGTTCTTTCTTTCCTTCCCTTCAGGAGACAATGTCACAAATTTACAAAGCTTCAGGTAAAAGGGACAATTTGTATGTTCATATATACAGCTTAATTAATTCTTAAATTATTGTGAATACCTAAGTATCTGACATTGAATACTCAAAAATTACCATTCACACTTAATTCAGCTTGGCTTATCTCCATTTAACAAAATTATTCTATTCAACCACTTCGAAAGTTTGATGTCCTGGGTATTTTTAACTCAAGGGCTGACCCAGTACTGCCTTTAGACCTAGACAAGTGGGGCCTCTGCCCTAGGCTGTCCACCTCAGAGGATGCATGCCTCTAAGAGCTTTCTTCAAAATGTTCTAAGTCATCCTGTCCCTGGGATGGTCCATGGCCTATAATGCCATCTGGGCAAAGTCCCATAGGCCAGACAGGGGGCCAGATGAGCCCTGGTGCCCATTTCTCTACTTGGGGCATTCTCTGACACTCTATCTGGTACATGGGCTCAACTGGATGCCCCAAGGAGCAGACTCACTCAACCTACATAGTCTTCCTAGTTCTTCACAGTTGAGCTCCAGGTCTGGGAAGACAGTCTAGCAAGAAGTTTGCTCCAGTTGCTCAGCAAGGTATTGCTTTTGCAGGATCTCAGAAAACTGAACCACCACACTGACTTGAGTGACTTTCACTCATATTGGACATAGAGTGAGTTCAGGGTTCTGGCTACTGATGGAAAACCACTGACCCTTGCCATTGAGTCATATGTATGGGCCCATGCATTAACCCTTCCCCTTGTTCCAACCATAGTGCTACCTCTAGTCTATAGCACAAAATGGTGCCAGGGTCGGTGGTAGGTGACTTTTACTATGTGTGCCCTTGCTGCTGATAGCCAGGGAGATCAACTGAATGATAAGTGGCAGATGGCTGGTTTATACAGGCACACTCTGAATGCCCCTGTTAATCATTATCTGGAGAATGTACAGATCTCATTCTCTCTCTGTTATTTCCTGCAAACAAGATATGTAGAAAAGCATGTTGTTCAATGTTTCAAGTCAGGGGCTTCAGGGGTGGCCAACCTGGGGCATCTCATTGGTAACACAGAATGTTTAGGTAGTGGGTTTTGATCTTGGAATGTTGGCTGTGAAAGGAGAGGGAAAGCTACGGAGAGTTGCTAGGCTAGTAGCTATCCTATAAAGCCTCCTGCATGTAGATTCCAGCAGCAGATGCTTCATCCAGTCTGCCTTTCCCAGAAACCCTGTACATTAGTTCCTGCATTAATCCGATGCCCCCTTCTCTGTCTCTGGGTCTTTTCTTCAGTCTCACTGGGTCGTTGCTCAACCTTGGCTTAGAGTCTGCAGGAGTGCGGCTATATGACACTCCACCCCCTTAGCAGGCTTTGTGGTATATGTCAGGCGCTATCTCCCGTGAAAGCTTTAGAAGACTCTTGCTTACAACACCAATCTTTCTGAATGGTCCTCTCTTTTCTGATCAGTGTAGTAATATTATAATCTCCTGGGCCAGTCTTAAGCTATGCCAGACAGGGATAGATATTCTTCGAACTAATGAAACTAATCTTGCTCTGTCCGTGAGTCTCTTGCCTATCCTGCCCATGGGTCACTGCTCCTATCTAGGAGACAGTATGTGGAAGGAGGAGAAGCAGTTAACACTGAAAGATCACCTTCTAGAAATGCAGTGAATGCAATGATTACAGCCAAAGAATAACATAGTTGAAAGATGTGTTATTCTACTTTTAGGCTACAAAATTTTGAATGATAAATTTAACAGGAAATGATTATTCTGATTTAACTTGCATACTCTGGGTAAGACTAACACTTATCATGGTCATCAATGAAATACAGCAACCACTTCTGAGGGAGTCATTGGAAGCCAATGTTCAGAGGCAACACAGCAAATGATGGCACATAATGAATGTTTTCAAACAATCATTTTCAAACAAACAGGTTTCAAAGAGCCATAGCATGGTGAGATAGAACAGCACCGTTAACTTTTTTATCATGGTATGGTAGGAAGAAGTTAAGTGCATATTTTATTAGACAGGGAATACAAGAGTAAGAGCAGATTCAAGAAGATGATTAGCTCCACTGTTGATTTATTGAGTGTTAGTTCTCCATGTAATGGACAAGTTGAAATGATCAGCAAGGATCTGGAGCCCGAGAAGGAGATCTGGCTTAAGGAGAGTGCTTGGTAAAGCATCAGCACGTGGATCTCTTTTTGTTGTGAAATATTGGGTAAATATCTCTTTAGGTATAAAATCTTTTGAGCCTACAGGAAATTCATTATTAAATGTTAGATAGGGTCATGATCTCTCATGAAATCTATTTTCCAAATAAATAGATTAAAATTCATTAGTGAGAAATTAAAAAACACAGATGAACCACTAAAAATAGTAAACATCTATTCCAGTTTCTTTGGAAAAAAATATCCTTATATTTTCTTTGCTATTTTGATCTCCTAACTTCAACCAAATTTTATTTTATGAATGTTAATAGTCCTGGTTATGAAATGAGAAAAATGTCTGTAGGGCAATATTCAAGGGGTTGATGCTCTATTTAGCCAAGTTGTATCACAGTTCTTGACAAGCTCTATGTTAATAGTATATGACATGGAGTTTTCTCCAACTATAGGATCTCTTCAAAGATTTTTAATAGGCCTGGGTGGTTCAGTCGGTTAAGCGTCTGCCTTTGGCTCAGGTCATGATCTCGGGGTCCTGGGATGGAGCCCTGCATCGGGTTCCCTGCTCAGTGGGAAGCCTGCCTCTCCCTCTCCCTCTGCCGCTCCCCCTGCTTGTGCTCTCTCTCACACTCTCTCTCTCTTAAATAAATAAAATCTTTAAAAAAAAAAAGATTTTTAATAGGCCATTTGGTCCTATCCAAAAAAGCAAAGGAAGAATAATGTAAATCTAATACATGTGAAATTCTTGATGACATTAAATGTTTCCAGCCAAAATAGGTGCAAATCTCTAACATATGAGCATTATGAGGTTCAGCAAAACCTTTCAGATAAAAATGTTAATAAAAGCCAAGATGTAAATTGGTAGAGAAAGCAATTATTCACCCACCCTACCATCAGAGAGTAGTAACCTGGCAGGATGTGCATGTGCATGTGTATATATATGAGACACCGGTAGAAAATTGGGAAGAAAGCAGTAGAAAGAAACTGAGAAAAGGTGGTCAGTGTTTCAGAATTGTTCTCAACTACTTACTGATAGGATCAAAGTAGAACCCTCCAGAGAAGCGGAACATCCTTTTTGCCTCTTGTGCTGGCCATTTAGGTAGACTTTAAATCCATGTTTTCTGATTTGGCTTCTGGTAAAACAAGCAAACAAACAAACACAAACTTTTGGCTTTTGGAAACTTTGGCCTGGCATGACCTATCCATTCTTTCTGTGGTCAGCATAGTCATTTTTATCCTGTCTGAAATAATTATAACCATTCTGTCAACATTACTCATGGAAATATAAACTTATTGTGAATAAAATAATATTCTTCGCCTCAGGTCATGATCCCAGGGTCCTGGGATGGAGCCCCATGTCTGGCTCCTTGCTCAGCGGGGAGCCTGCTTCTCCCTCTGCCTGCCCCCTGCCTGTGCACTCTCTCTCTCTCTCTGACAAATAAATAAAATCTTAAAAAAAAAAAAAAAAAAAAAATTAAAAAAAAAGGATATTCCCTGACTTGCCACATTTTTAAGCTTCTTTTAAATTAGGAATTAAGACTATAAGTACTAAAAAATAAATGTTATGACTGTTAGCCATCTGAATACATTGTAAATTTACTTACAGTACACACTACAAAGATATTTTTTCAGATAATATGCCCTATGACAATGACTAATCAGGTTAGTTGGACTTCCAGGAGTAGAAAGGAATTCTGAATGCAGTGAATGCAATGATTACAGCCATTATTCTTAAAAGATTGAAAACAATGGCCTTGGTGGATTACTTAAAGAAAATAAAATGCCCCTTTATTAAATTTAAGTGAACATTATCCAAGAAATCACTGTTCCAAGGAGAGCAATCCGAGGTTTCCTCACTGACATTTAAACAATGCCTTTCCTCACTGACATTTAAACAATGCCTTACAACATAACCAGAGTTGAGAAAATAATAGATTATGCCATATGTTCTTATTTAGTTCATGCCCCCAAAGGCCTAGAGAATGGGCATGATTTCATAAATTTAAACAAATGAAATAAATGTCTTGTACTTATAACTCTGTTACCTTTTAGGAAAAAAAAGAAAAAAAAAAAAAAAAGACTCAGTGCCAGGAGAGCCAGAGAATTAAGAGACCCTGTAAATGAAAGAACAGAAGGCTGTCTGCATTTTCACATTAAACAAACAGAACACAAGACAAGCAACAACAGATTGTTTGCAGTTTAGCAAAACAGTTAAGTTATTGCAGTTTATCTGGGCGGACTGTATATAAAAATATTTGTAAGTCTCATCTTATTTTGATTATTAATGGGAAAATATGACAAAAACTTCCTCAATTTTCTCAAGAAATTGAATATATTTTTAAGAGCAAGATGTACAAATCTTGAAGATTTCCCTAAAATCTAATCTTATTTCAGCTTCTGCATGTATCCACAAATGCAAATACTTACGCCTTTTCTCCCTATAATCATCTGACTCTACACCAGCATGTGTATCTGAGCCCTGGCTGTGGGTCCCACACCTCTGGGAATCATAATTATGTTCTTCACAAGCTCTACCAGTTTTGTTTTTTAATTTTTTCACATACAGAGTCAGTCAAGTTTTCTAATTTACATACCATGAAAAAAATCAATACAAAATTATATATATAGATTTCTTTTTCCTATTGACTTGCTAATCTTGTTCTTTTTTTTTTTTTTTTTTCTACTTCCTCTGAGGAATTCGTATACTAAGTAGATTATAATTCTTAGGAGAGCTATCATCCCCAAGTTGGGACCAATATTGTATTGAACCAATTATGTTTCTTTCTTACTTAAATCCCATACAGTCAAGTGAAATTATTTACTTCTGGCTACCCAGTATAAGTCATTCAGGGAATCTCATGCTCTCCTTCACTGATTATGGGCCTTGAAGGAAGTTTATTTCTAGAGCTAGTGACATCAATGTGCACTTAACTTTTTTAATGTTCATAATTTTCACCCAAATTACTTCATAGAGCAGAGAAAACATTTCCGGGGGAAAAAAGACCCAGAAATTTCTACTTTAAAATAATTAACTTGCTTTTGGATCCTCAATAGTTCTATGATTTCATTTAATCACACTTTTAAATTACCCAGAAATAAAAAGCCATACTCAACAAGATGAGGCTCAAATCCATGTTAATAGAATCAATCCAAAGATTCAGGACACTCCCAATCAGAATGTTTAAGCTACTCTACTCATTAAAGTTTTAGTCATTCAATTCATTCAACAGATTTCTAAAGCAGATATTATCCCAAGCCTGTGGGCTAGCTGCTTTCATACATTATCTACAACTCTCAATTCTCTGCTTCCAGTGGCACAGGACTGTATATATCAATACCCAACATCCGGAAAGGAAGGAGAAATTCTGTTGTCTGATCCTGAAATAGAGGCAGCTGGAAAGGGAAACAAGAACAAGAAACCAGATTGTCTCAGCTCTCCATAAATTCATACAGTGCTCTTTCTCCCTTAAAAAAAAAAAATACAATATTCAATCCAAAACCTAAGTGTAGAAGAATCGTAACTCAATTTTTTAAAACCCCTAATGCATAGGCACCAATGTCTGTGTTCTCCTCTTGGCTCTACCAGTTTTCCTGGTGGGTGTACCACAGCACACGTGTGCTGTAAATGGGTCCGGGCGTGATGAGGTTTGATCCTCTCCTTTCTTAGGATAGCTGGCTATGGCCTGGTATGAGATGCCCACAGTTAGCTGCCTCTACAAATATTATAAATTTTTATGAATTTCATGACTTATAAAAGGAAGCACGGTTATACCCAACCGTCTCCATCTTCCTGAACCAGTGAAAACAAACAGACTGACACTAACTGATCTCATGTTCTTCAAAATTATCTTCTAATGGCATAAACTTCATTCTCTGTGTCCCTCAGGGCTTTATTTAGTAGTCCTAATACTAAAAATTTATCTCTTTTGTCATCTGCTTTTATGAGACAATGACTGTTGCTGACAGAATGGGAAAAGCCTTTGGAGAAACTCCCAGGATCAAAAAGATGTTGGTTAGTATATCACAATAATACCTTTCTATATTTACACAGGGTTTTCATCAAGAATCAATGATGGAGCACTGGGTGTTATATGCAAACAATGAATCATGGAACACTACATCAAAAACTAATGATGTACTGTATGGTGACTAATATTACATAATAATAAAAAAAGAATCAATGATAGTTAAAAAATAACTATAATGTTTTCAAATTGCTTCAGCAACACAAAACAATACAAACAAACAAACAAACAAACAAACAAACAAATGGCTGGGAGGAGAGATGGGTTTATGGAAAAGAGACATGCCCAGGGGCAAGAGGAATAGCTGAGCTTTTTGTGAGACTAGACTCAAAATCACTCTCTCTGTTTCCATTTTACCATTTGGTCTTCTGTCTAGATTTCAGATTCATTTTTCCTTCACTCTTCTTTCATGCACAAAATATTTCCCTAATTAACTCACTCTTACATACTTTGAAAGATAATTTTGCACCTCTTCTCTCTCAAAATCTCCAACACCCCTTCGCACATATTACGCTCAACGGAGAACCTTACCTCATAGTCACTGAAAAGTAGAAGTAACCAGAAAAGCACTTACACATTCTCCCTACCATCATACCTACCAAATGACCTGTGTCTATCTTCAGACACTCTGCTTTCATCCTTCTTATAATAGAGAAATTGTTCCCTGTCTATGGCCAACACTTTCATTAGTGGACTAGAACACTGCCCCCTCACAACTGCTCAAAGATGTCAGTTCTATAATTACCCTCTCTTTTCTACAATTACCCTCATTTTTTCCACTCTCTGCTAGATCATTCCATAGTCATACATACCTTTAAGTTATAATATTTTAAAATATCCATCTTAATAAAAAAAACTTTGATCTACAATCCCCTTACAGTTTGTACTCTATTTCTTCACTCTTTTTTTTTTTTTAAAAAACCCTCATTGTAACAATTGTCTACATCTGCTGTCTTTATACTTCCTTGCTTCTTATTCACTCTTGAGTTCACCTTGCACATCTTCTTGTCCCCACTAATCCAGTAAAACTGCCCTTGTCAATCACTGTGCTGAACTCTAGACATATAACCTGAAGTCCACTGAGTGTATTCACTTCCATGTCTAATAGGAATCCCAAATTTCAGATGCTTACAACCACACTCTTGATTCTGTTGCCACTATAACCCTAAACTAACTTGCTTCCCCCACGAGTGTTCCTATTTCCATAAAGGTCACCACATTCACTTAGGAGATTCACCCAGTAAATCTGCTCTTTATTTAATACCTCATATCCAAACCAACAGTAAATCCTCTAAGCTTACTTTCAAAACATATTTTAAATCTAACCATCAGCCCATCCACTACCACCTTACTGCTTGACCAGCACCTTAAATGGTTTCCCTGTTTCCACTCTTTGTCACCCAAGATGATCTTTTGACAACATAAATCACTCCCCTACTTAAAACTCTTAAGAAGTTTTAACAGTGTCATTAGAAAAAATTCATAGAGCTTATCCTGACAAAGGATTTGGCTCCTGACTCTATCTCTAGTTTCATCTCTTATCTCACTCACATTAGTCCAACCAAACTGGTCTTCTTGCTTTTGGGCTTTCCTGCTTGCTGTTTTCCCTGCTTGGGTCATTATTCTCCAAGATAGCCAAAAGATTTGCTCCTTACTTAATGCCAGTCTTTGATCAAATGGCACCAGGTTAGAGTCAGTCCCTGACAATTTAAAATAATAACCCCCCTTTGCTATCTATCACCTTGCTCTGCTTTAATTTTCTTCACAACACTAATTTCTTAACATTATTTATGGGTTTTTTTTTTTAGATTATTTATTTATTTGAGAGAAAAGATGCATGCACAAGGGAGATATATAGATAGAGAGCCTGAGCAGGGGGAGGGGTAGAGGGAGAAGCAGACTCCCTTCTGAGCAAGGAGCCTGATGTGGGACTGGATCCTAGGACCCTGAGATCATGACTGAGCTAAAGGCAGATGCTTAACTGACTGAGCCACCCAGGTGCCCCAATTTATGTAATTATTTTAACAATCTACACATCCCAACAAATTAAGCATGTTTATTGACTGAAGTATTCTTGTCATCCTAGGGATAATAGGTAGACAATCATT